AAATTTTGTCTGGGTCAACTTCTATTCCCTTTTCACTAACTACAAAACCCAATAATTTTGCCAACTTAGATCCAAACGTACATTTGAATGGATTCAACTTGAGTTAAAATTTCTTTAATCTCTCAAACAATTTTATGAGATTAGCTACATAATCATCTTTCTTTCAAGATTTTGTGATCATATCATTCACATACATCTCAATCTTTTATGTATCATATTATAAAAAAGTGTCACCATAATCCTTCAATAAGATTACCCTAGCATTTTTCAATCTAAAAGACATAACCTTGTAACAAAAAGTTCCCTACATAGTTACAAAAGTAATCTTTTTCATGTCATCTTGAGCCATCTTTATTTAATTATAACTAAAAAATTCATCCATAAAAAAGAATACCGCATGTCGACTATATTGTCCATCAATGTATCAATATGAGATAGAGAAAATTTATCTTTTAGGCTAACCCTATTAAAATCGCAATAGTTCACACACATTCATACCTTGTCATCTTTCTTAAAGATAGATACTATATTGACCACCTATTCAAGATACTTGGTCACTTGTAAAAAACCCACATCAAATTGCTTTTTAACATCTATGTTTCATTCTTTTCAACTTTTGTTGAACTGGCTTCCATTAAAGCTTTAAGGGCAGCCTATGTTTCACTGTCTCAATACTGAGCCTAGATATATCTTGAAAAGATCAAGCAAACATATTTATAAATTCTCGAAACAAATACTTTAATCATTGTCTATCAATTACTAGAAACGAGGTACTAACCTTGACTTCTTTTCTATTTTTAATATCACCTAAATTGATCATCTCAATAGCTTCTTAATGAAGCTCAATAGATTTATTTTCTTACTCAATTAATTTCATTAAATCTGGAGGTAAAGTGTAATCTTTGAAGTTCTCTTCAGTGTCAAGTCCATAAATATTAATTGAGTTTTCAAATCAAATCATTGATCATTGTCATGATTATCTTTATATTTATTTAAAGACCTAAAATTGAGTAAAATAGAAAATATTAACAAAGTGTTTTGATGGAAAAATGGATTGAATAAAAGAAATCAATAAAACGCATGCTCTTATCTTTTATTAAAATATGAAAAAATAAAAGGTCCAAACATAAGAGATTATCCTAATGCTTATGGGCATAAGCAATTAGTAATTGTAATTATATTGAAAAAAATAAAAAATAGCAAGCATCCGAATGACACTTCAATTCTTTAACTCATAATCCGATAGGCATGAGTAAACCAACATTTCTTCTTTTTGGTTATCATCACCTACCGCATGAATAGACAATTCAGTGAAAACTTCTTACCGTTTTGGTTCTTCTCTGATGTTCTTCTCAACTCTTAAATATATATATATATATATATATATCCTCTAAGAATAAACGTTTCATTAAAATAGAGAACAACCATCGACCTATTTCTTACCCTCTTATTATCTCACATTTTTTCCATTTCACGACCCAGACCCAATCTCCTGTTGTTGTCTTCATTTTTTGGTGGTTCTTTTATCCTCTGTAGAATTTTGCCCAAATCGAATCCAATATTCCAATGTTTATTGATCATTTAATTGATCACAATTTTATTGAACTTAAATCCTCCGCCTATTGCGTTAATAAGTTCAAAAGATCGATAAAAGCATTCTAATGACTTTTCTGCAACTTTTACATATAAGGTATTTATAAGCTAGGTTACAAGCAAATTTTTTTCCCCAGCCAGAATCACTAATTAGCCTTCCACATTAAATTTAATCTTTTGATGTAATAAGGAAGGAATAGCACCTGTTTTGTGAATCCATGGTCTTTCCAATAAATAGTTGTAAAATGAAAAAATATCCATGACCTAAAACTTTGTTGAAAACACATGGCCCAATTTGCATGGGTAACTCAATGTCTCTTAATAATTCACATTTAGTTCCATCAAATGGTCGAACCATCATATGACTACTTTGAATGTAGGGCATATCAAAAGGTGACCTAGTCAAAGTAAACATGGGCATGACATTAATAATCGAACTATTATCAATAAGAACTTTAACTATTATATGGCTTTTGTATTTAACAGTAATATAGAAAGCATCGGTACTTCTTTTTCCCTTAGGTGAATCTCATCATCATTGAAATATATGTAAAATGGTACCACTAAGTTCCCTGCCAAATTGTTCACATATTTTACAGATACATTGTGTTCAGCAAGGCATTGCAATATGGTTCTAAATTAAGTAACAATGATAATAAAGAGATTCTAGCCAGCATTTTGTTCAGCTGCTCTACCATAAAATATTCATTATGTTTCACCAATTTCAAGAACTCTTAAGCTTTTTTTTCTAACACAAACTTTGGGATGTCTTTCTTTGGGATCAATTCAAGTTCAATTTGTTTCTCCATCCTTTTATCCTTCTTTGTTTTCTCTAATGTCTCTAGAGTTAGCATCTTCCACTTTTAGTCATGCCACTTACACTAGTTATATTGGCAATTTCAAATTTTGGCATAACTTCTTTTTGCCCCTGAACTGTTACCTTACAACCATATTTCTATGATACAACCTTCTTGTCTTTATAAGGGATTGACTGGGGACTTTAAAGATTACTAGTCTTAGGATAAATTTATCCTAATTGATTTCGATTTCTCATCGCAACTAATGGTGATAGGCTTTGGTACTCATTTATCTGTCATGGCCATTTTAGTATTTTTTTTAAGGCTTCTGTCTCTTCATACAACTCTATCTAGTAAAAATCCACTAACTTTTGCACCTTATCATAGAATTGTTTGTATGTGTCAATAGAGTGCCTCGGAGCTCCGCTATGATACTTACATCTTCAATTTGGGACATACATCCCATGATAGTACATAAAGCTATTAACTGTATCATCCCAACCTCGTACAAAGCCTTATATAACTGATTGAATGACATTTTGATCTCTTTCACTCTTCTTTTCATATGCCTTCTGTCCTCATTCAAAACACTGACTACATGATTAGGTAGTGGGTTTTCATAATATAGTGACTTTAGACTGCTCATAAACAACACTATCATTTTTTTTTTTTAATGGTGGCTATACCTGAATAATGACATATCGTCACCTTTAAGCATATTCCTTGAAGGACTTAAATACTTTCTTTTCCATTCCTTCTAACGAAAAATGATCAAAAGCTATATCTATGATGTGATGATATTGGTTAATGAAAGATCAAGTCAAATCCTTTCACGATCTTATACGAGTCCTGTCCAACTGAACATACCACCTTGCAATAAACCTAGTTAAGCTGTCATGAAACACATGTATAAGCAGTTTTTCATTGCTGGCATGTGCTGCCATCGTATGACAAAACATTATGATATGTGTAATGAAACACTTAGTACCATCGTACTTCTCAAACTCTGATACTTTGAACTTTGGTGATATTGTCATGTCTGGCACCAAACAAAGCCCCATAACATCCATAGATCCACAAAATCAATACCTTCTATAGCCTGCAATCTTTCTTCAATTATGCTCATAGTTTGATCGGTCTTAGAGTTTTTTAATGATGCAATCGTCTACAACTGTACTTTTTCTTTTGCTTTATCTAGATTGGGGATTTAGATCAGCTTGATTGCCTTTTCTATAAAAATAGGATTAGTGTAACTTTGAACATTTGCCTGACTGAGTGTATAAGGCATTCTTGGGTAGCTGTAACTTGGGAACTGGTCTGTTATAGCTAAAAGCTATAAGTGGTTTGAATCTAATATAGATCAAAACCTGAAAAATATAATGACTTAATAACTTCATGTGAGATATCTTCTTCCGTCACTTTTCTTTTGTTTATTTCTTCCAAAGTTTCAAGGATCTTGCTTAATTTCCCCACAATTACCTCTTAAGCCTTTTTCCAACCTTTCAAAATGGTTTGCATTATCTTACTCCATCTTCTTAGCTCTAACATGAGTGTTATATGAATGTTAAGCTGTTCTTGCACCTTAATATCATAATTTAAAATTAATGATGATGATATGATGATGAATGAATGTAATGCAATGCATGAAAAAGAAAGAAAAAAAATATTTACCTTTTTAAGATTTCAACAAAAGTAAACTTTCATTTATTCCATAAAAATTTATTTTACATCAAGTCTAATACTTTTCCTTTGTAAAAATGCCTAACTTACTCATATTGATCATTTGCTTCTTCAATGAAATTCATTAGTCACTGTCTACACTCTCCTATTAGTATGACCAAAGCTTTCAATGTCTTAACCTCCTTTGCCATTTCTCCCACCTTAATCACTACCTTGCCTATTTACATTGTAAGATACGTTATGTACCTTTGCCTCCCTAACTCTTTTCTTTGGCCAAACCATACCTGATATGATATGCTTTTCTATGAGTGAAATGATGTGATTTCTTTACTCATTCAACTTCTGCTTTAGCGTCTAGATGTACTATTTGAACATTCATTTTCATGCTTGACTTTTACATAGTCATCCTCCATTTAAAAGCATTCTTTTTTCAGCTTTTCATTCTTATAAGCCAAATCTGTATTGTTTATTTTTTTAGCCTGTACTTGCATATGCAACCTCTTACGTTCTTGTAGCAACTCTATTAGCTCCTTAAAAGCATTATCCCGTTCTTTGATAACTATTTAAGTTTTGTTATATTCTTTAGAAATCTTGTGGACTTAATTTCTAACTTTTTCACTTTATCTTTCCATTGTTCCTTTTCTTCCTAAAGCCTTAGAATTTCTTGTTTCAATTTCTCTTTCTCAACTTTATACTTCTTTCTTGTAAGTTCTGACTCTAAAGGCACATTATCCAACTCCTAGTTCATTGACTGGCAATGGTCCTTAGACATAAATGCAACCTTTTGGCTCTTTTGGCTCTCCAAATCAGATATCCTCGAATGGCTTTATCAGTAAATGGTCTAAGGCTCGCCCTCTTGGGCTTCTTACAAACCTTGATTATGCCATCAATTCTTTGAAAAGTTTTAGGCTTCCTATATAAACAATCAAATTAGCTAAGCTTGTATGTCATAGGAATAAACTGTTCAACTCCATAATGTCTCCTTACCATCAATGATGCATAACCTGTTGATCCTCTTAAGCCTAAAAGTGGAACCCCTATATTATCCCCACATTGATACAACATAAGTTGGCAACTGAGAATAAAGAAAAGGATTGTAAATGTTAAGATTTGAATCATAAACCTATTGATGCCACTTTTTAAGAATAATTGCATAGACTAACTGAGCTAAACTCCCGATTCTTATAGATTGCAATTTAATAAAATACATAGTTGCTAACATGCAAAGGCTGTTTTATACAAGAAACTCAAACATTTTCAGTGTCATGTTTCATGAGCCAACCTTAAGCATACTGTTGAATTTATTTAGCAACATTTTGAGCTTGAAACAGAATTATCTTGCATCCTACACAACAATCTAAGAATGTTTACCTGGAAAAGTTGCATAGAAACATAATTTTCTCATCCTTATACCATCCTGACCCAAATCCAAAACATAACACAACATCCCATACTAACATGAAACCTTTCATACTATTCACCTAAAATAAGAAGGCTTTTACTCACTTTGATAAGATATCACTACCAAAAGTTTCTAATTTTTAAACCTTCAAACTTGACCGGGCACAATTTCTTGTTCTACACAGAGAGTGATAGATCATGAATGTTTTGATTTGGCTTCCCTTATAAGCCCTTTCTTACAAATTATATTTTAATAAGACTCCACACTTATATAAAAATTCAAGGGACTAAACCACAACGTACAAATGGGCTATTACAATATTCTAGCACATATATTACTATGGTTAGGGCAATAAATATTTCCAATGCATCAAATGGTCGGTTCAATGACAACCTATTAACTTACATGATAGCTATTTTCAAACCAAGAAAATTTCAACTCTACTAACAAATACAGAATTTCACAGCACACCATATTACAGTGAGGCCTTTCTAGGGAACTACCATCTATCAACATTACAAGTTATACATAAATTACAGCAAGAGTTTCAACACAGGTTCAATTTTGTTCCTTTTTACCGCCAAGAACATACATTACACCTATCCAAAAAGATACTTACTCGTCACAAAGCGATGCCATTAGGTCACGCGGCGATGCCCAAATTGGAAGATCAAAATAAGATTGCTTCAATTGCTCCTCTTGCGCATCACACAGTTTTTCTCCTATGTCACACAAATTTGAAACATCACGAATTATCATATCTTGAGCTTCTGCCTGCATTTCAGATGTTGAAAGGAAACTCAAATTTTGGAATAGAAACCAGCAGTGATACATTTTAATGGCTTCATAGTAATACATAGATTTAATTCTGTTAAACTAATTAAAAAGAATGATTCCATAATTTACCTGCAAAAGGAGCTCATCAACCGAAGAGCCATAAGCGTTATCCTTATCTTTTATCTCCGACCTTGAAAACGACGCCGTTCTCTGCTCCTCTTCTGTCTTTCTCAATTTCCTTCTTTCTTGCTGTTGAACTTGAAACCTTAAAGCCTTTTCTTGCATTTCCTTCAAAGTTTTCGACAAAACCACCCACTCCTCTATCTCTTTCTTGTACTTCTCCTTCACTCTGAGAAGACTTTTCCTCTTCCACTCTCTCCTTCGTTGCTCCTCTTCCTCAGGATCAGCCGGTGCTGATGCTGGTTCGATGAGAACGCGGCCGCGCTTCTCACGTTTGTAGATGAAGCCGTCTTCGCTGCAGAGCTCCCACTCGTCGGCAGCGAAGGCAGTTTGAGAGGAAGAGGGTGTGTCCATTTTGGGAGGGATTTTCGAAAATTTTGAATGTGTTTTTGGAGGTTAAACAGAGATAAAGAGCGTCGGCGCGTGCTGCACACTCCTGCCTGGTCGAGCATTTGTGAAGTTGGGCCTTTATGTTGGGCTGAAAAAATCTGTTAGATTTGGGCCTTAAAATAAGTACTTGATTAACTAGAAAGAGATGCATTCGTTGCTAAGTTGATCGGCTGAAGCACAAGGGTTATATTTTGCAAATTGAAATGAAATTCTAGGTTCGAATCCAGGTAGCTGAAAAAAATTTTTGGCATCATTTACCGGTTCTGCTATTTAAAGATAGAGTTTATATTTGATGCTCAGAAAATTTATTTTTAAATTAAGTTTTTCTCTATTTATTTTAAGAATTAATAAAATTTTATGTTTGATTTTCAATGAGGTGTTATCATAAAAATATTAATAATATATAATTTATACATTGATAATATATTAAATATTAACTCTTAAAAATTAGACTTTTCTTTTTCAAAATTTTTTTTCTTCTTATCAAAGTGTTGATTCCTTAAAATAAATATTATCTTTTTTAAAATGACTAAATAAATTTACAACTCAACTTAATTGATCTATGTCATTATTTTAAAAAATAATATTTAATATTTTAAAATTTAACATTTATAATATTCTTTTATTAAATGCACCTAATTTATAATAAATTTTATTATATTGAATAGAATATTCAAGTTGGATTTTTTTTTAGAAGTGTTAAATGCACCCTCACTTTTTTTTTATTTACACCTTAATTTAAAAAAAATTTTATAAGTGAAGTTATTTAATTATTTTTTATAATTTTTTGCACTTTTATAATTTTTCAAAAATAAAAATTTATTATATTGTATTGAAAGTCATATAATTTTTTGAAAATAAACTTCCAAAAAGTTATACATTTTTTCAAAAATAAATTTTCGGAAAATCATATAGTTGAAATAGTGAAAATTTAAGAAAAATTACAAAAAAGAAAACTTTTTTTGAATTTTTATTAATTAGTGTGATAAAAAAATAATTATTAAAAAATCATAAATTTTAAAATTAATAAAAAAATTAATTTTAGTACTTTGATTTTTTAAAATTTAAAATTCATATTTTTTAATAAATATTTTTTGTATTAATTATTAAAATTTTATAATAATTTTAACTAAACTAAATTCTTTTAAAAAGTTTTTTCATCTACTAAACATGATTAGGTTTTTTATTAATATTTTAGATTTCGATAAATTTATGTAATGTTAAATAATATTATTTGTATAACTTTTATAAATTTTAACTTTCAAATGTTGATTAGATTTTATATTTTTTTATCATCTCTTATAATATTAAAAGTTTAAATATTTAATTAAAATTTCATAAAAATTTATTATTTTTTAAACTATAAAAAGTAAAAGTTGGGATGTATTTAGGTTTTTTTTTTTTTTAATTTTAGTTGGAGTCATTACTAACTTTTTTCGAGTGGTAGCCGCCACCATCTTTAACCAATGGGCAATGACCATGACACAACTAAGAGAGAGAAATATGAAAAATATCGTTTTTTTTTTTTTTCAACAGCGAAGGAATAGAACAAGGTTAAAGTAAGGAGAGATAAGGGAAAAATGGTTGACAAATGCACCGGCCTATTCTTTGCATTCAAGTATACTACTCATTCCTTCACTCTCGGAAAAACAAGAGAGAAGAAGCCTTTGGAATTAAAAAAAGCCTGCATCTCTTCCACTTTTGTTGGTTCGTAACCTGGGAAGGAATGAGATATGGGACAATCTTTTATGGGTCTTAAAGATAAGAACCAGCTGTTAAGACAAAATTTCCAAACTTCCGGATTTTTTGTTTTTTTGGTTTTTGTAAGACAGAAAGAGAGGAAACATGTTAAAAGCAAAAAGCTTTGGTGGAAGACACAGACATGCCTTTGAAGATGCAGATTCAAGCTATGTATTGTCTTCTGCTTCTCATGCTCTGGATCTCTATTATGTCTTCGACTGCAAATTCATTGCTGGTTAATATCAAAAATGTTTTTTTTTCTCCATCTCACTCCCTAAAACTAAAGTAAGAAAGTACCCTTTTCTCCTTTTTTTTTCTTTTTCATAAACAAAACTTGACCTGCTTTCCTCTGGTTTAAGTTTGATGCTTTCATTTTTTTTTTCTTGCTTTAAATTTTCTATGTCTTTGTGTTGCAGCTGAAGTTCTGTTTATGGATTTAATTTTTGTTTTTGGCAGGAGTTTGATAGCAAATATGGGAATGAATGGCAATGTGTGGTGGGTTCAAATTTTGGGTGTTTCTTCACTCACTCAAAAGGGACTTTCATTGGAGAGACTCAAGTTCCTCATCTTTAAAGGGGCTTCATCTTCCACCTCTCCTTGATGCCAATGCCCTGTTTCATGATTTGTTGTAGTCTTTGTTCAGGCAAAAGTTGAAGAAGAAGAAAAAGGAAAAAAATCCAAGAGGTAAAAGTGCAGTGAAGTTCCTTTTTTCCTTGTTCTTTCTTTTTGCATCAAATTGTATTTAATGCAGCTCTCAGACTCTCAGTCCATTTGCTTTCCCCATTGAACAGATTCATAAAAAGCATAGCAAGGAAGACAAATTCAGGGTGTTATTTTATAAGACTTTTGAGGTCTGCTTAAGCACCCCAAAATCCAAGCATTTGGATCAACATTGCCTATGGATTTAGCTGTAATTGGAAAAAGTTAAATCTTCAGGATGAATGAGTTTGGGGCAACTAACCTCTGCACAATATTGTGATTCCTATTTCATGGGATGGAATTGAAGTACACGAGCAGAGTTGTGGTTGATCAGCTAAAGTCATTATTAGTTTCCTTGTCAAAAAAATGGAAGGATTAATGTGATCGAATAATTGAAAAATATCTAAAGTAATATCTATATTAAAAAAATATTATGAAGATACTTCGTCTTTCAATTTATATATCATCTAAAGTAATATCTATATTAAAAAAATATTATTAAGATACTTCATCTTTGAATTTATATATCAATTTACCTCAATCTTTAATATTATTAATAAAAATTGAAGACGCAACATTCAAATACCTGGTAATTAAAATATAATACAATAATAAAATATAAAAATAAAACAAATAAAGTTTATAAATGCGGCAAATTTAAAATTTTAATTAAAATTATATATAAATTTAATAAAATTAAAAAAATAAATTTCATATTTTTATATTAATGACATGAACATATAAATTATTAATATTTTATATTATACATACATGAATTATCAATTTTGGCATTCAACCAATGAAAAATTAACATGTGTACCCATCGCGACCAAAATGATATAACAGAGTCAACAAGGGCTTGTTTCCTCAGTGGCGTTACACACGTGAGACACCAGTGGTCCATTTTGAATGAATTGTGAGATTAATTCCGGTAAGATTGATAATAAGAGTAGCGGTGAGTTTAGTCATTATAATAATAAAATTAAAATTTATGATGAGATATGTGTTTGAATGTAAATATAATAGTAATAGTGAAGTGAATTGTAATAAGATAAAAAATGATCATTAAATTAAAATTTGTATATAATAAAAAATTTAAATTATTTAAAATTTATAAAATTAATAAATGATTAAAAATTATTTTTACGTTAAATAATATATATTTTTAAAATTGATAATAATATATTTTTATCAATTAAAATTTAATAAAACAATATTAAACAAGTAAAATATAAAAAATTAATTAATTTAAATATAAATACAAAATAAAAAATATATATATGATATTATAGTAAATGATCCAGTTGAGTAGCTCACTGGACCATTGTTTACCGTTAGAGAATTATTGCTCTAGTGCAGTGAAAGAGTTCAATCACACTGCACTGATGCTGCGAGTGAATGAAGCCTTAGGACAACTGTCTCTCTTGCAAAAAGGTTACTCTGGCGCCTCAAGCTCATTTTCGAATACATCAAGTCCAGCTCCAACAGAGATGGTAATGACTGGAATCTCAGCTTATTTTTTTAGATAATATATAATACTACAAAATTTTAAAATTTAATCTGAATTTAAATAATCTTTTTTTTAAATTAATTCTATCTGAATTAAAATTTTCCATTCAATTTGATCCATTATATTTGAAATCTATTGTTTTTTTGTTTTTATATATTACTTTAATATAATTTTTAATATATTTATATATAAAATAATTACTTTATTTTATAAAAATTTAAAATATATATAAATTAATAAAAATATATAATTTATTTTTTTTATTTTTCACTTCTCAAATCCGAAAGTATGATTTAAATTTAATATATATATATTTAATATCTAAATTTAATTCGAATCAAATAAAAAAAATATCTGAATCAAACACTGTAATTTAAAATCAATTTTGAGTTTTTTCCATTTTTTTTAACCTCTGCGACCTGCCTTTCAAGGAATGCAGACACAAGTTCAGGTTCATGGACATGTGCACCTCAACTCATCCAATGTCGATAAGAACACCTTTCGGACCAAAGCATCAATGACTTTGCGATTAACATTGAAACCACACAAGAAGGTTTAACATTCGTCTAGACATATTTCTTGGGTAAAATGTCCTTAAATTAATGAAAACATAAATGAGAGGAGCAATACGAAGCTCGCAATTAATTAATAGTACCACTAAACCACGGGAGTCAAAAGCGGTTTCCTTAGAAAGTGCGCCTCCAAGTTCCCAATGACAAGATCAGCCACGGCTTGGCGGGGTTCTACTGTTCTGCTTCCCACTTGAGGTAAGAGCACCACATTGTCGAGCCCGAAAAGCTCTTCTGCTACTTCGGGCTCGTGTTCGAACATGTCAAGCCCAGCACCTTCCTAATCGGCGTTCAACCAATGCAAAACCAACTCAGGTGTTAGGAAAATGGGTACAGTCCAATTGGTTTTAGGCAGATCAAAGGTCATAGGGTTTGATTTTATTTTTTATATAAAATTTTAGCTACTTAATAAAAAAAAATGAAGCTATTTTAAGATAGTATCGCAAATCAAGAAAAGAAAAAAAAAACCAAAAAAATAAAGAGAAAAAAATAGAAAATTGATTAAACTTAAGTCAATTTACGATCCGATTGAACTGAAATCTT